GAAACAGTTTCCTATAAGAAATTTGAAGCTAACACTTTCGGAACAGACAACAAAATTTTTAAAGTTGATATTAAAGAAATGAACTGTAATTAATGCAAATAATTAAGAAAAGTTTACTTACCTTCAAAAGAAATGGACAATTTCAAAGACAACTTGCATGAGATGATATCAAGATTCAACAACAAAGTCGTCCATCTTGTCAACAACTACGTAATAAGTCATCGGTCACGTGCCTGTCATAGTACGAAAGTTTGGTGCAATCGATTGCGCCATAAACGCATTTCTTGATCATATTTTCCAATTTATGGTGCAACCTAGATAAAATAATTTTTGATTTATCCTATTTATGGTGCAATTAGCAAACTTTGCACCAAGTATTGGATAAACATTAACCGAGATTTTTTACAGTGTAGCAAAGAGATGATTGAATTTGAAAATGTTCGTTTTTGTAGTTATATAATTTTAAATGTAAAAGTGAATAATGTTATTAAGTTGATCACTTTTCTAGGTTATTATTCATGAGAGCCTTATTCATGCAATAAAAAAATACTAACACTTATGTCAGTTATAGTTTACATCAGGGGTTTGAAATTTTTTAGTGTGGGGACCCCACAATACTTACGAAAATAATTTTGGGTTCCCATAAGCATAGCGCATATCCGTCCACCAGTTAGTGAAGCTCTCAGTTTCTTCACTTTTACCGCATTAAACTATTGTAGTTTTAGAGCATTAACTTCAATTATTTTTAAGACGTAGAACATTGTTGAAATTTTAAATTATTAACATATCTTAAAACATATATAGAAATAGGCACATCCTAATACGTGATAGTAAATCATACATCCTAATAAATCGTATGTTTGAATTTACAAAATTAATGTAACTTATTTTTATTATTGTACTATATTATTAAATCTTGTCAAAATAGTCGGTACTGCAGAACGAAGTATTTCTTCAATATCGTTTATATCTGATAGACACTTTGATTTTATGGTGGATAAAGATGACAATGCAGTCTCACATAAATATCTTTATCTATTTTCTGATATATATTGTAAAAATATTTAGTCATTGTAAAAATAAGTTTGAGAAATTTTAAAAATACTGAAATTTTTGGAGACTTCTGCTGCAAGATCTGCGACCCCAATTGTGGTCGCAACGCACAGTTTAAGAAACTCTAGTTTAAATTATGCTTTAAAGAGGTCCGTATTCACACGAAGAATTATGTGAATGATAGAACTTTTATGATTATATCATTTCTGTGCTATTTTTAAGTCATTTTAATATATTTTTTTAACAACGGAAGAATTCCCTGCGAGGACATTTAAATATAAGAAAGTAATATTAATGACACCAATACTTAACTTAAGCTAATACTGAAAATAATTTACAACGAGAACTAATGCGAATAAGTTAACCTAAATTTGCAGCATCACTTCGCCATTTCTCAACGTGTCATGAAGTACAACAAAAGATAAACACAATAAATAACGCGAACCAAACTGTAGTTTTGAGACGAACTCAGTTCAAAAGCTTCAGTTCTCAAATGATCCTAGGATTTTTTGAACAATGTTCTGTTGCCATATGTGTTTCATATTTTTCTATAATTTCTAAGATATTTGAAAATGCAAAACACGGTTCTATCCTTTATAAATTATGATTAATTATAAAATATATTAGTTATAGTGAATACAATAATTAATAAATTATGATATATATATTTATGTAAAATAAAACCAAATAGTACTGTAAAAATTAAAAACTATTTATAAACTTCGTAACTGTAAGTGGACTAAAAATAGTAAATAAGTTTTACTGCAAAAATTAATTTTTAATTAATTTCTGGAAAAACATCCTCTCTAATTAGAACTTAAAATTGCAAGAAAGGCGTAATACGTAGTATGACATTGCAGATTCAAAATTAATTAAATATTTCCAGCGTGGAACAATAGACCCAGTTCTGAGTTTTCCACTATCAATATGCAACTCCATAGCTTTGTAATTTTTAACCCAACCAGAAGACAAGTGAACGCATCAAGTATTAGGGCAAACTGGAGTACGTTTTGAAGGAACTGAACCGCATTTGCGTTACATGGAGAGGAAAACCTCTAAACACGAAATTCTTCCACGCTTAACCCGTCCGCTTGAGCATTCAAGCCTATGATCCGTCTACTATTGAGGATATTTTATGCCAGCACTGCTGTCGGTGCATGCCTTAAAATTGCCCAAAGTATTATTATAAAAGAATCAATCAAAAATCTTTTTGTAACATCTATTAATTTTAATTAGAGAATATAAACTATTTACCATCTGATAGTACTTTACTTACTCGAGTTCATTTAGCATCTGATGATCTGATAGTACTTAACAGTACACAAAACGCAACCTTAACGAAATCAATGCGTTATTCAAGGTATAACATAGCTGAATTAAAATTTATTATATAAAAAGGCTTGATTAGAAGTGGATCTTGAATTATCGATAAATTTTAAATTTTTATTTTAAAAAATTCCTTCAAATTGTAAGCCTACCAGCGAATGCCTGGTAATATTGCAACTTGATTTTTTTTGTCAATTATTAGGTCTTGTTGAGAAATTCAAATGCAGTATAAATGTGTCCAAGTAACGTAGTTTAATTCAACAATAAAAATTCAACAGTTAATCCATTTAATTAAAATATAATTTTTTTTGCAGGAAAACTGTACTTGAAGTTGGGTGTGTAGCTGCGTCATTATCCAATTCATGCGGTCACAATGCCAAGAATTTATTCGAGTGGATAGTCGAAAAAAGCAGACTGGCGAAAGAAGTATGCCATGAAGAACATGAGACTGTGATTGAAGAGTTAAGGCAACTCATGAAGTTTGAATCGAGAAAATAAGAAAATGAATACAGATTTCAGAGGTTTTTTCATTATTACATACACTCAAATATAAGCTATTTTTATTGTTCGCTCATGTAAAACCAGAAATATAATTGCCACTCCTTTCGTTGGATGTTTGCTCACAATAAAGTTCTACATTTTTTTCTTCCTTTTTGTCGTTATTCAAACATTTATGTAAGTAAAATTAATTTATTTACGTTCATTGTCTTACCTGAAAATTCTTTAAATCGTATCATTTTCCATTTTAATTCGTGTATTAGGCGAATTGCATATAAACTGCTGCAACCAAGTCATTAGTCTCAAAATCCGACCCTTGTTCTCACCAGGTAGAAGCAGTTGAGATAATATTTTTTAATACTTACATCTACTTGCTTGCATCTTATATTATCTACATACTTACTTTATACTTTCCGTGAACTTTTTAAAAAAATTTCCAATGTTTTGGAAGTTTTTTAATCCCTGTGACATAGAAAGAAGTTGGCCGTGTATTGAACCAGTTAGGCACAAAATTTTCATTGCTTCATTGGATGAAAATCTCTAACCCCTGAGGCTTCTTTAATTATATGCTATTTTTATGACTACTGTTAGTTTGCAACTGTTGATCATGACTGTTAGTTAAATTTAGCTTATCTAAAATTAGCGTTCTCTGCCCTTATTATGAAAATAAAGCAAAAGTTCAATATGGAGAAAAACAACAGTTTTGTTAAAATGAAAATCGCTTGTGGTCTAATTTTTTAATGTTTAAAGACTTTCTCCAATATACGTATTTACTAGGCTCATAAAATTTTTCAAACGCTGAGAATAATTCCCTTATTTTGAGGGCAATTCCACGGAAGTGTCAACTTTTAAGTGAAATTTTTTTTGTTTATGAATTGCATATTTTAATTTTAAAAATATGTTCAAAAATAGCCAAAGTCTACATATTGCCGTTTCATTTTTGATAATTTTAAATTTTTTGAATCTGGCAGCATTCTAAAGTAATCACATGGCTGACAAGTGAATTGTTCACATTTGTGCTCAAATTGTTTTCTTGAAAAATACTTATAAAATAAAAGAAATGTATCTTCCTTTTGCAATATTTTGATAAAAATATGCATATAGAACAAAATGTAAACATTTTAAGTTTAATATATAAAATAAAAGTAACTTCTTTTACGTCATTCGGTCACATGTCTTAATAATGCATGAATTTCCTGAGAACGAAGATAAAATGTGACACTGGCAAGTTAGATATAAAACCTCTTCAGAGACAACCTAATTTTCAAATTGTTGAAATTTTTACTAATTCATACATAAATATTAATCCTGTTTGTCTGTTACATTCTGTTTATCATTTACATATTAATAAAACATTTTTTAAATGAAGGCTTTCTTCTACTAAACTTTTTGTCATTCCGTCACGGTCATTCCGTCACAGCGAATAGCTGCTAGCCAACCTGAAGTTAATTTTCCAAATTCACATTTTACATTGCTTACACATTATACTAAAAGTATAAAATAGTTCAGAAAAATAATAGCTGCAAAATTCGCAGAAACTACCAGTTCTAAGCGGCATGCCAAAAGCTTGGTTGCCAAAATGTCATTCCGTCACGCAAATAAAAAGTTCGTAAAATTAAAAGTAAAAAAGATAGAAAATCCTGTTTTTTTAGTTTATGAAGCGCATTATGCCAATAATAATGATATGCATGAGAAAANAGTAAAAGTTATTGGAAATACAAAAGAAATTAAAAAATTAGTAAAATGGTCAACAAAAAAAATTTACCTATCTTCCTTTAATTAAAAAATGAATTATAAATCACCGTAATCGTAACCCGCCGGAATTGCAGATGCGCCGCCTACCGGGCATTCTTGAATAAGCACATCGCGTTTTGACCGTAACATATATATATATATATATATATATATATATATAGTATAATTGTTAATAAAATACCAATTTGAAAATACACATAATTAAAAATGCGTTGCCTAAATGGTAATAAAAATTCTTTTGAAATCTTTTAGTTCAATATCTATTCCGGTTGATAAAATAACAAATGTGTAAATTAAAATCAGCTGAATTAATTAGCGGATATTGTTATTTATCAAATCTGAGACTTCCTTTAAAGTGCTTCCTGAAAAATACAATTAAAGGTCATTTTATTCAACTCTTTCGATTTGGTTCGTTTTTTCATGTAACGCCCAATTGACTTCAGTCCCAAAATGTTATTTTTGATACTGCTTACTACAGCATTCTTTCAAGGTAATTTCACTTTTTCATTTTTTTAAAAAATACACTAACTTTTTTTCCTTATTGAGCAATATAAACTTGTTTAATTTAACTTGTTGAGCAATATAACTTAAATTTTACTGGAAATAGTTAATCTTTAATTATTAATCCCCAGTGGCGTATGAGGATATGTGTTGCCACTTTTACGTAACTTCCTGTTGCATGTAGCGTTTATAAATTTGTGTATCTTGACTCAAAATAGACTAAAAATATCAATTAAGAAATCGCAGCTTATAGAGAGAAACGTGGTTGCAGTTAATTTTATTCTAGTTATAGAGATAATTAACTTGTAATATTATAATGTATATTTTGCGTCAGATTTGTATTGAATAAACTAATTTTATAATTGCGTTAATGTGTTGAAATTCCTTCAAAAAGTTCCAGAGACATTTCAAAATACACGTAAAGTAAAATTACCATTAAGGGAATTAAGCTTTGGACCTCTCTCCTACCAAACTATTAGAACCATATTTCTCCTAATGCGGATCTGATATCCGGATACCTTAAAAAAAGGTATTTTTATACAGAGAAAGTATGTCTTGTGTCACACTTCTTAACCTAAAATAGGGTCTGCGCTACTATTTATGGCCAGCATTTCAAACTATTAAGATTGAATCCCAAGAGTAATGGCCCGATCATTCGATCGAAAGTTTCTCAATGTGATCCGTTTTTATTTATTAATTTATTTATTATTAATAACATCATTATTGCGGAAAGTATAGCGTTTGTGCTCAGAGCAAATGAAATATTTCTTGTGGTCGTTTTCATTGTTTAAACAAGTCTAAGATATCAGAGGGTTTGCTTGATTTTGTATAAAAACCAAAAAAGCATTATGTAAACTAGGATGCAAGGTTAATATGAATTTTCCTAGTTTTCAAAAAGAATCTCCTAAAAATATTCAAGTCTTGTTTTTTCCATATGTGACTCATGCCACTAAGAGAAACTTCTAGAATATAAATATTGTCAAACTATGGAGTGTTCCTGACAGATTACTCATACTATATACTTACAAAATGCATTCATAAATAATGTACATGCTTGGAGTCAAAAATTAAAATTCAACCGCTAAAACTCTCTTGTGTACTTTTGTATTTTTCAAAAATACAACAATAGACAATTCAAATATATTACTTTTTAAAATTGATTTCAGTGCAGCAAAAATTTTCGTATTTTTCAAAATAAATTAATAATTTAAGCACTCATAGTTTTATCTGAAATTATGCATCAGTATTTTTTAGTGCTAAACTGTGCGGTATAATTAGTAATCAAAGTAAATCAATTGGTTTGATGAAGGTACTTATTACATGACTATTTATAATTTAGAAAAGGAAAAGCTAGTGAAAAACGGTTACAAAACTGAAAATTGACGAATGATGATTCCTACTTTGAGCCGTCGTGGCTCGGGGATAGAACGCTGCTCTTTCAAGGAGTTGAACTGGGTTCGGTCCCATCCCAGAAAGCATGGAACCTTACGGCATCCTCGCGTCGGAATTTTCTTTTTATTGTCACTAAAACGTTTGCACTAGAAAACTTTTTTCAATGGCGCAAAAATATTGCAGTTTTAAACCTTTCATCCTAAAATAGTTCAAAATTATATTTAGAGCTTTTTTTTTTTTAAAGCATTGTCTCTTAGGTCCATATTGACGTTTTAGCTGACTTCACGTTAGCGATAGGATCAAATTGCATTAGCCATTAAAATTTCATGACAAGGTGTATTTTAGCTGAGCATACAAAACGTTGCAAAAAGAAACCTTATAATTATCTAGATTTAAGATTATTTTAACCTTAAGACTAGCAAGGGTTTTTCAGGCTTGGAAACCCTAAGACAACCTCGATTTAAGGTTTTTATACAGAAGGCTGTTTTCCAAGGTTTTGGATTTGGGTAATGTGAGTAGAATAGAGCAGATTATCACAGATAACGTTTTAAGATTTTAACACTTAAAGAGCTTAAAAGCCTATTTAGGTTTACATTAAAAGGATTTTCTGAGTGAAATTAAATCTTATTTTGCTATCTGGGCATTAATGGTAGGTCGATGCGAATTTTTGTATCCAGCTTGCGCCGACCACAGTGCAGACGTAAAGTATGATTAGTAGTGAACGGAACATGGGTTAGAGTTGCTTTACAGTCAGGTTAGCCATGGGAGGGTTTCGTTGTTTTCCTCTCCATGTAACACAAAAGCGGGTTTCCATCATGAAACCAAATTGCTCCCGGTACTTGATCCAAGAGGCTTCTTGTCTTTTGGATTAGGTTCAAAATTACAAATCTACAGTTATGGAAAAAAATGCTGATTATCTGCTTACAGGTATTGTCAGCGGTGCTTTAGAAGGAATTGAGAGTAATCTTTGTGAGAAAGACCCTTTCGAAACATGCAGGTTTGAAAAAAAAGGTAAATTTCCAGAATCAGCTGCAGATGTTGACGACTTATGCGAGTAAGTAATGAAAAACTGCTTTTTTAAATTTTTTTATTTCTATTTTTAAATTATTTATTTATTTTTTTTGTAGTTTGTATATGCATGCTTAAAGTAACTTTGCTCATTCTTACATCTTACTGTAATTTGAAATGTTGAGTTACTGTCAGTAACAACTTTAATCACAAAACCCAAAAAGTTTTACAAATGATAAGACAATAAACCAGGCACACTTGAAGCAATTTTAAAATTAATTATGCCAGTTTTTATAATATGAAATTTGAAATAAGCTGCATGATAAAGCTGCATGATAAACCTTTTAAATTGAGACTAAATCTGCCTTTACAAAACAAGGCTAAAAAAACTTACTAAATTAGAGGATAAATATTCATTCACAAATCATGGGTAGAAAACGGTTCAAAACGAAAATAAATTCACCCTCTTAAGGTTTATTTTATATCTTTCGAAGCATCACTGAAATAAGGTTTATTTGCGCAGACTTTTATTTACTTGATTTAAAACTTTAAAAGAGTAGGTTGGCCTGGTCATTAAGTTTTCAATGCAAAGAAAATTTTGGATTTGAGTGCCTGAGCAAAGCTAGTGTAGTGTGTCTACCATTAGAAAATTACAATTCTAATTCCCTAGAATATAAGTCATGTTAACTCGATTATATCTAAGGATACCTTTTCATAGATGAAGGTTGACATTATCGGCACCTACTCTCCCCACAATGGTGACCTTCGGACGTGATGCGAACATGCCTACCTTGACAGAACTCCGACTTCAATATGAACACGCCAATCTTGACGTCTATTTGAACACGCTTACTTGGAGGGATTGTCTACATTGACCAGTTGACTATCTACTTGTGACTGTGACATTATCCACCACCTCGCGCTGTTGCTACTCAGTCTCAATCACACCCAACGAGAGCCTGTTCATGATTGACGGCTAATTGCAATACAGAAGCGACTGCGCCCCAACCATGATCTTAATACAGCTCTCAGGATCTGCACTGAAAGCCCGGTGACCTTAATACAGAGCTGTTCCGATCTCTCGAAAACACGACAGTGAATAAACTAGTGTCACTATTCAGGGTTGGGGACCAGTATCCAACAATATGTGTAGTCACCATTAAAGTATGAAAATTGAAGTTTGAAAACTAAGTATTAAACAAGAATAACTCATAATAAGAAACTAAAGCAATCTGAAGCAAAAGAAAAATACTCAAATAGTTCTAAACTTGGAAAGTGACAAAACCTAATGGCTGACCCCCTGCAAAACTTAAAATATTGTAAAAAATATATTTAATTAATAATGTCTGGCATTAATTAATTATGCAAGGATTTCCAGTGGCTTTACAAAATTTAATAGTGTTAGGATTTCACTGATAGCCTAATTTTAATTTTTTTTGGTATTATTTTCAAATTTTTGTAATCAAAAGTCAGAAAACTGGCTTCTTGAAACATACATTTTTCATAATAAAATTAAAGAGGTTTTTGCAAATTATATATAAGTATTGATAATTGGGCTAATTCTGACAATTCTTTTAATAAAATTTTAAGGTCTTTCTGCAAACTTTGAGACCAAGGTAAAATAAAAGAGCTCCTCTAACTACTTTACATTTTATAAAATTTTTTTACTAAAAATTATACCCGTGAGCTTTTTTTTTTTTCGTTTTTTTTTCGAAACCTCTTTAACTAGAGCGATATCGATAAATGCGAATATAGTATTGGGTGGAATTGAATCTACTTTCAATTATTTAAAATCAGGAAAAAAATGAATAAATTGTTGTACGGTGCGTTAAAAAAATGGATCATCGTGACTTTTGATCTACTGATCGGATTTTCACGTTCTCAAACTCAATCATAATTATAATTTTTTATTTTATTTAATAATAGTCTAAAAAAATTTGAATTGTCAGGTATAAAAATTTTTGCATCATTTCAAAGAATGTAATTACAAGATTTGTGCAAAATTAGTCGAATATCTCAGGAAAAATAAAATTTAAAACACACGAATTTTTCAAAATTCAATTTTTTTTAATTATTCGACCGATTTTTCACAAATTTTATAATTTACAATTTAAAACTGCTTTCTGTAATATGATGCCAAAATTTTTATACCTTTCAATTTAAAACTTTTTTTGCCCATTATTTAATAAAATAATTTAAAATAATAAATATTTACTAAAAGTCATATTTTGCATGTCGAGTCGCGATGGCTCAGCAGTTAAGACACTGGGCTGTCATTGTTAAAACTAGAGTTTGGTTCCCAGTTTGAGCTTGAAGTTCATCCTGCTTCAGATCAATGAATACCATCACTGTATGGAAAGTAAAGGCGGACTGTGCACAGTGCTGACCACATTGACACAATCATGCTGTTGGTCAAGAAATTGTTGAGCCTAAACCTCCATGATCCCTCTAGTCCACAACGGATTGTTGAGGGAATGCTTTTTATATATTTCATTGAGTTATTTTTGAATAAACGAATTATATTACTTAATGCGAAAATTTTTCAATTCGCTTGAAAAGCTCTAGAGATATGACGGAATACGCGAAAACTAAAATTAACATTAAGGGGGCCAAACTTTTGACAGCTCTCCTGACAAAACTATCGGAACCATAATTTCAGAAGTGCGGCTGCCCTCTTTATTTTGGTCGTCAAAAATCCGAATCTGTTGAGGGGGTCATAAATCTAAATCCTTCGAAAAAATGTACCTTTAGACAGAGAGGGTACGTTTTTGTGACTGATTTCTTAACTTAAAATATCATATGCTCCAATTAATCAGCGTACTTGAAGTACCCCCTCAAGCCATAAAGATTTAGTCATAGAAAATGAAGATCATTAGATCAAAATTTATTCGGGGTGGTCCGTATTTTAATTTGTGCCCTGTACAATAAATCGTTTATAGATTTTATCATTCGTAACACAAATATCTTTTTTTTTTAGAGATTTGGTACCCTTTCATCATTGCATTTCAGAGTTCCTAAGAAACTGCGACACGGATGAAGGAGATGATATCCCGTATCGAGGAATTTTCGATTTCGGTGCAATTTTAATGCTGTGCAACAAGGAGTCACCAATTTACCGAGGTAAAAGCTAAATACATTATCTTATGAATTTTCAAGTACCCGTGTGAAAATTTTTTGAAATATATTATTAGCTTTTATCCTTCCGTCAATACTAGTCCTCTACGCGTCAGTATATCAGATAGAATAATAAAAAATAATAAAATAAAAATATATATATATTAACGGGATTGCCTGACAATTGCTAAGGAAAAATTACATTTTTTGGAATAATTAATAATACGGGTTGATTAAAAAAATTTAATTAAATACTTATTTAGTAAAGGCAATGTGCATATATTATTATGCAAAATATAGTTTAGATATCGATGTATCGAAAAATAAAATTAAATAATATAGAAATAAAAAAGTTGCTCATTGGACGATTTCCAAACAGCCATCGAAAAGGGGTCTTGCCAGAATGAAACAGAAATGTGTATCTCAATAAGATGTGTGATTATCTAGAACGCTAATGCAGAGGTTTTATTTGTTATTCATACTGTCCTCTAAACTATGGAAGAGTCTTTGCGGAATATTGTCCCATTCCTCTCGCAAGGCTTGAGGCGAGAGGCAACGTACTCATAATGTCCTCTAACCTATCGAAGAGTATTTGCGGGATATTGTCCCACTCCTCTCGCAAGGTAGTTTTGCACTCTTGAACGATTTAGAAAGGGTATGTTCTTTTTAAAATACGTCCTCCAAGGGCATCCTACACATACTCTATTGGATTCAGGTTCGAGGAATACACAGGTCATTGTATACGGTCGATATCATATCGTTATTTATTATTTTTAATGTGATTCATTTTGTTTCAAGGAATAATTCTTTGTTTCAATTAAACATAAAAAATTAGTTTACCTTTCGCGTGTCCTTGTTTCCTTTGGGCAATCTTCATCAATTAATCCTGCTAATTTACTTTTTGAAGAAAATTTTTTCTAAATCACCAGTCATATGTCTTGATTGTTTTTGTTCACAGTTCTTGTCGACAACATAAAATGCATTGCTGGAGTCTTTGAGCCTACCGAACCTTATCATTTCTGTTCAACTCATCTTGCAACTCTAATGGAAGAAACTCCAGATATCATTGAGAAAATGCGTGAACTCGTTACAGGGGATACAGATGAAAAAAGGAGAGAATTAGAAAACTGTTTGTAAGTAACTAACTTGTCTATAATTGCTGTTAATGGGATCCATTGCTTGTTTGTTATTAATTGAAAACTTAAAAACATAGTTAAAAATAAGATTATCCTAATACGTGCTAATAAATAATACATCCTAATAAATTATACGCTTGAATTTACCAAATGAATGTAACTTATTTTTATTCTTGTACTATATTATTAAATCTTGCCAAAATAGCCGACACTGCTGAACGAAGCATTTCTTCAATATCGTTTAGATCTGATCGACACTTTGATTTTATGGTGATTCAAGATGAAAATGAAGTCTCACATAAATATCTTTATCTGTTTTCTGATAAATTTCGTAAAAATATTTAGTCATTGTAAAATTAAGTTTGAGTAATTTTAAAAATACTGTAATGTTTGGAGAGTTTTCTGCTACTGGTTTTGGGACCCCTATTGGGGTCGTAGTGCACAGTTTTAGAAACTCTGGTTTAAATCATGCTTTATCGAGATTCGTATTCACATGAAGAATTATTTGAATGTTAGTACTTTATTGCTTATATCATTTCTGTGCTATTTTTAAGTCATTTGAATTATTTTCTTGGCCACGGAAGAATTCCTGTGCATGCGCAGGGAATGCAGCTTTTTCTGGAAAATCACTCGAATGAGGGGCTAGACGAAAGTAAATAAGAAATAAATGAAATTTATCATGTATCTGAGACTTTCAGTGTGTATAAGTATATTTTAATGTAAGAAAGTATTATTAATGACTCCAATAGCTGAACTAAAACTGTATCATCACTTCACCATATCACATCGCATCATGAAGCACAACAAAAAATAAACAAAATAAATGACGCAAAACAAGCTGAAGTTTAAAGACAAACTCAATTCTATGGCCTCAGTTTTCAAATAATTCATGGATTGTTTCAACAATGTTCTGTTGCGATTTGTGTTTCTTAAATTTCTAAGATATTGAAAAATACAAAACATGGTTCTAGCCTTAACAAATTAATCAAGTAAAATAAAACCAAACCGTTCCGTAAAATTATAAACTGTTGATGAACTTCGTAACCATAAGTGGAGAAAAAATAGTAAATTTGTAATGCGAAAATTACATTTTAATTATTTTCCTGAGAAACATCCTCTCTAATTAGTACTTAAAATTGCACATTTGAAAAGAAAAGAGGTAATACGTAGCATGATATTGCTGATTTCAAATTAATTGAATATTTTTTTACCGCCGTTGAACAATCGACCCAGTTCTGAGTTTTCGACTATCAACGTGCAATTACATAGCTTTGTAATATTGAACCCAATCAAAAAACAATAGAACGCATCAAGCATTTTGACAAACTAGCCTTCCTGAGGACATTTTAAAGGAACAGAACCACATTTGTGTTACATGGAAAGGAAAACCTCGAATCACAAAATTCCCCCATGGTTTACCCGTCCTCCAGGACATTCAAGCAACACCTCCTAGTCCGATCTAACTGCGCTGTAGATGAAAAATAAGAAAGATGTCATTTCGTTAAGGGTACTAAGCTGCGCATTGGTTGAGAATACGAAATATGTCATTAAGTTTGGACTACTAAAGGATATTTATGGTAACCCGTGCTGAGGCCTGCTCTTATATAGGAGGTGTTGATTCAAGCCCATGATCCGTCAACTATTGAGGATTTCTTATGGCAGCACTGTGGTCGGTGTAAGCCTTAAAATTGCCCTATGATATATTATAAAAAATAAAGCAAAATCAATAAAAAAAAACAACGAAAAATCATTTCGTAGCATTTATTAATTTAAAATTAAAGAATTTAAAAAAATTAGCATCTAATGGACTTTACTTACTTTAGTTCATTTAGCATCTCATGATCTGATAGTACTTAACAGTACACAAAATGCAACCTTAGCGAATTTAATGGGTCATTTAAGATATAACATAGCTGACATAAAACTTACTATATTAAAAGGCCTAATTAGAAGTGGATCTTGAATCCATCGGTACATTTTAAATTTTTATTTAAAAAAATTTCTTCAAATTGTAAGCCTACCATCGAATGCCTGGTAATTTTGCAACTTGATATTCTTTAAAATTATTAGGTCTCATTGAGAAATTCAAATGCAGTATAAATATGACCAAGTAACATAGTTTAATTCGACAATAAAAATTCAACAGTTAGTCAATGTAATTAAAATAAAATCTTTTTACAGGGAAAATGTACTTGAAGTTGGGTGTGTAGCTACGTCATTATCCAATTCATGCGGTCACGATGCCTTGAGTTTATTCCTGTGGTTAGTCGAAAAAAGTAGACTGACAAAAGTAGTATGCCATGAAGAACACGAGACGGTGATTGAAGAATTAGTGCAACTGATGAAGTTTGAATTGAGAAAATAAGAAAATCAATACAGATTTCAGAGTTTTTTTTATAATTACATGTACTAAAATATAAGCTATTTTTATTGTTCTCTCATCTAAAACCTAAAATATAATTGCAACTCCTTTCGTTGGATGTTTGTTCACAATAAAGTTCTAAACTTATATCTTCCTATTTGTCGTTATTCAAACATTTATGTAACTAAAATTATTTTATTGACGTTCATTGTCTTACCTGAAAATTCCTTAAATCGAATCATTTTCCATTTTACTTCGTGTATTAGGCGAATTGCGTATAAACTGCTGCAACCAAGTCATTAGTCTCAAAATCGGGGAGTCCGGCCCTTGTTCTCAGCAGGCAGAAGCAGTTGAGATAATATTTTTTAATACCTACATCTACTTACTTGCATCTTATATTATCTACATAGTTATTTTATAGTTTCCGTGAACATTTTAAAAAAATTTCCAATGTTTTGGAAGTTTTTTAATCCCTGTGACATAGAAAGAAGTAGGCCGTGTATTGAACCAGTTAGGCACAAAATTTTCATTGCTTCATTAGATGAAAATCTCTAACCCCTGAGGCTTCTTTAATTATATGCTATTTTTATGACTACTGTTAGTTTGCAACTGTTGATCATGACTGTTAGTTAAATTTAGCTTATCTAAAATCAGCGTTGTCTACCCTTATTATGAAAATAAAGCAAAAGTTCAATATGGAGAAAAACAACAGTTTTGTTAAAATGAAAATCGTTTGTGGTCTAATTTTTTAATGTTTAAAGACTTTCTCCAATATATGTATTCTCTAGGCTCATAAAAATTTGCCAACACTGAAGGCACTGATTTTCATTTCATTTTTATTTTTTTCGGAAAAAGGCTTTTTTGAAGGAAGATATTACAACCTTTAAAATATTTAAGTTATTTGTCTGTTCTAAAGCACACACACACACACACACACACATATATATATANTTATTATATATATATATATATATAAAAACTCTTTTGAAATCTTTTAATTCAATATCTGTTCCGGTTGATAAAATAACAAATGTGTAAATTATAATCAGCTGAATTAATTAGCGGATATTGTTATTTATCAATTCTAAGACTTCCTTTAAAGTGCTTCCTGAAATATACATTTAAAGGTCATTTTATTCAACTCTTTCGATTTGGTTCGTTGTTTCATGTAACGCCCAATTGACTTCAGGCCCAAAATGTTATTTTTGATACTGCTTACTACAGCATTCTTTCAAGGTAACATCACTTTTTCATTTTTTTAAGAAATACAGTAACTTTTTTTTTTATTGAGCAATATGAACTTGTTTAATTAAACTTGTTGAGCAATGTAAACTTGTTGAGCAATATAAACTTGTTGAGCGATATAAACTTGTTGAGCAATATAACTTAAATTTTACTGGAAATAGTTAATCTTTAATTATTAACCCCCAGTGGCGTATGAGGATATTTGTTGCCACTTTTACGTAACTTCCTGTTACATGTAGCGTTTATAAATTTGTGTATCTTGACTCAAAATAGACTAAAAATTTCAATTAAGAAATCACAGCTTATAGAGAGAAACAGGTTGCAGTAAATTCTATTCTAGTTATTGAGATAATTAACTTGTAATATTATAATAATATATTTTACGTCAGATTTGTATTGAATAAACTAATTTTATAATTGTGTAACAAAAATTTTTCAATTCCTTCAAAAAGTTCCAGAGACATTTCAAAATACGCTTAAAGTAAAATTACCATTAAGGGAATCAAACTTTGGACATCTCTCCTACGAAACTATTAGAACCATATTTCTCCTAATGCGGCTGCCCCCTCTATTAAGTGGATCTGATATCCGAATACCTTAAAAAAAGGTATTTTTATACAGAGAAAGTATGTTTTGTGTCACATTTCTTAACCTAAAATAAGGTCTGCACTACATAATTAGCATATTTATGACCAGCATTTCAAAACATTATGATTGAATCCCAAGAGTAAAGACCCGATCATTCGATCAAAAGTGTCTCAATGTGCTCCGTTTTTATTTATTAATTTATTTATTATTAATAACATTATTTTTGCGGAAAGTATAGCGTTTGTGCTCAGAGCAAATGAAATATTTCTTACGGTCGTGTTCATTGCTTAAACATGTTTAAGATGGTTTGCTTGATTTTGTAAGAAAACCAAAAAAGCATTACGTAAACTAGGATGCAAATTTAGTACGAATTTTCATTTTTTTCGCATTTAATACGATTTTAAATTTCATTCATATCGTAGATGAATTTTCATGAAAAACTTATGATAAAATATAACAGTTGGTACAGAAAACGTCGTACACGTAACAACTAATCCAATGTTCATTGGATTACATAAAGATAAAAAAATACTCATCATGCAACGCAACATAATCAAACACGTTATATAACACAAACTACCTGTTTTCAGGACCTTTCTTATAAGTATCATGTATAACAGTTTTAGATAAATTCAGTTTTAAAATCAGACATTTGAAAAAATTGTTTTATAAATCTAAGTTTATCACTCACGCTGTCTAAAACTATGAACGCAATTATTGAACCCAATAATAATTTTTCTTGTACAAAAACCCCAATCTAAAATGTTTGGTACTTTCTTGAAATTTACGCAACTGAACTAACTGAAATTTACGCAACTGAACTAATTACTGAACTAACTACGCAACAGTCTTCGCAGAAATGTGCAACTAATCGAATGCAATACGTTGAACACGCATTACATCGTAATTTCTGATTCGATAACCCTATAAAGCTATACATTGCTCTCTCGATCAAATGACCGGTTGTTATAGAAATAGGTATACGACGAGTATTATTCGACAGAAACGAAATACAAAAAATAATAATAATAGAATATTAACTGCATATGATTGTTAGAAGAAGTCATGAAGTCAAAAATGATAAGATGATAAGCGCAATTTGATGCAAAATATCTTAAACGGTCATTTGCCCGGTTCATTATACAGTGTTAGAAACTTACTGCATCACTAATTAATATTGGGAAAATGCAAAGCCAGCGGAATATGGTTACAAAGTTGAAATTTGACGAATGTTGATTACTTGCTTATAGGTATTATCACCAGTACTTTGAAAGAAAGTGAGAGCAATCTTTGTGAGAAGGACCCGTTCGTAACATGTAAGTTTGAAAGTAAAGATAAGTTTCCAGAATCAGCTGAAGATGTGGACGACTTATGCGAGTAAGTAATTGAAAACTGATCTTTGATGAAATATAACACTGCTTTTCTTTTAATGCATGCTAAACGCAATTTTACTGATTCGTACGTGTATCATATCTTACTGTAATTGTAAATTTAGGGTAACTGAATAATAAGCATAATGGTGGCTACTTTACTGCAAGTAGTGTATAAGATAATAAATACGCTTCAATACGCTAGGAGCTATTCTTTGGCGAAGTGTAACACTTATTGAAACATCACTATGGTGTTAAGTAGTTGCCACCATTTTTAGTGTTCAGATACATGAAAATTTTCTGAGGTGAGTGCATTCATTTTGAAGTCGATTTAACTGAAAATTTATTATTCCCTTTAGTGAAAATTTAGCTGAGGGCTTATCTGAAATATTTTGATTTTGAACTTTTAGCATGTTTAACATTTGAGCACAATTTATTGGTCGTTTTTGTGATATATTCTAAAAACGGTAAAAATACAAACCTCAAACCACATAATCAATTATTAACAATTAAATCTTCAAGAACTTCCCTATATTAAAATTTTAATTTTACGCGTATGGAACGAATATCAATCCACACGAATATCTTTATTTTTAAGCCTTTTTGTTCATTTTCTCCAATGTGAGTCAAAGAGATAAATATAGCACAAACAGTAGTTAGGGACTATTTGTCCTGCAAAGCAGTGTAAAGTTTATTTTAATAAAAGTAACAACTTTTATCACAAACCCCAACAAGATTTGATTAGCAAATAAACCATGCGAGCTAGAAGCAATGTTATATTTAGCTATGCCCTTTATTAAGATTGAATCTACCTTTACAAAACAAGGCTAAAAACACTGAATTCGAAGATCAATCATCATTCGCAAATCAAGAGCAAAAAGGCTTATTCAAAACGGAAATAAATTCACCTTCTCAAGGTTTATTTTATACCTTAAGACCATAACTGAAATAAGGTTTATTTGCGCAGATTTTCATTAACTTTCTGTAGCACTTTAAAAATGCAGGTTGGTCTGATCATTAAGTTAGCAACACGAGCAAAATGTTGGATTTGAGAGGCTGGACAAAGCCTGCCAAAAATGCAAAAGGAAGGTTTATAATACATGTAAGTAAAAGCTTAAAAATTCCAATTTTTGTGACGTTCCTTGCATGCCTTTATTCAATCTTTAAAAAAAACAAGGATTTTAGAATGTTACTGACAGTATAATAGTGTTAGGATTTTACAGATTAGGATGTTAGGTTCCAATAGTTTGGTCAGGAGACCTGTCCAAAGCAGCAACTTCTTAATGTTGATTTTACTTTTTACGTATCTCACGAATTTCTTAAGTTAATTGAAAAATATTTGCACTAAATTATAAAATCGGTTTATCCAGAGATTGAAAAATACAACTTTTAGTAGATATTTATTATTTTTTTATTATTTTATTTAATAAGGATCGAAGAAATTTTGAACTGGAAGATATACAAGTTTTAACATCATTTTAAAAAACGCAATTTCAAATGGCAAATCATAAAATTTGTGTAAAATCGGTCGAAGTGTTCCTGAGTAATCAGATTTTAAAAATATGACTTTTTCAGAATTCTCAGATTACTACTATTATGAGGGTCATAAACCTAAATCCGTCGAAAAAAAATTTGTTTTTGTTTGGAGAACGGTTTTGTGTCTGATTCCGTAACTTAGAATATAATTTCCAGTATTTAGTTAGCATGTATTTGAAGTCACCTCTCAAACTATAAAGATTGAGTCCTCGACCGTGAAATTCCGATCAGTAAGCAGACCAAAAGTTTTTTGGGATAGTCCGATTTTTTATTTTGCGAACTATACAATAAATCTTTTGTAGATTTTATCTTGCGTATAATAAGTTTTTTTGTATTTTAGAGATCTGGTTCCTTTCCATCATTGCATTTCAGAATTTCTAAGAAACTGCGACACGGACGAAGCAAATGCT